GGCAGCAGATCACAGTGCAGCAATGTACAGCGAGGTTGGCAGCCTCCCAGCCACCCAAAGCACAGGGTTTCCAGGGGCACAGGCATCTCCACTGAGAGGCTTCAAGTTAAATCTCTGGGACAGAGGGGAGGAAAGACGGCACAGGGCAGGACTCCGTAATAGGGGGCCCAAAAACAGGACAGGAGCAACCCTAGCCAGAAGTGGCCCAGGCCATCCCTACACCAATCAACAGGCTGGGTACCCCAACAATGACAGCCACAGACAATGCCAGCCTGGAGCAGCCAGAGGAAAGATGACCAAGCAAGGGTATGTCTTCAACAGTACGCACCAGTCCTCCCCTGCAAGACTGTGCCACCTGTGGCCAAGGGCCAAGCCCCAGCCCACAGCCTACACCTGTGGAAACTTCTATCCCCAAACACAAGAGCAACAAGAACACAATGCCAAGGGCCAGTGATTTGGCTCAGTGGTTCCGCTGCCTGCCTCGCAAGTGCAAGGGTCCAGGTTCAACCCTTGGTACCAAAACAAAACAAAGAACACAGCTTCAAGAGTACCCACACCCCAGTTCTGCCCCAAACCATGGCCCTCAAGAGGTGGGAGTAGCACGGGCCATCATTCATGACCTTGAACCTCAAATTTAGTTGGGCACCCACACTGGTCAAGAAACCTCCCTAAAAGACACACTTGAGAACCGCAGACAGCATGCACAGGCAAGCATGGTCCCAAACCAGCCCGGACACTGTAAAAAACCATGTCCCTGAAGCCTAGTCACCATCACCGCCAATCCCTGACCACATGCAACAGTGACTGGGCACCTTGAGAGTCAACAAAATAATTAACATGGCCTGGGGACAAGGTCTGTGCACACTGGTCAGCCCACAGATCTGTGAAGAGGGTCTGCCCCTACCAAGCAAATTGGATCTGAATGGCTGTCACTAAGATGCTGATGGGGGCAAAAGCAGGGGAGGTGGAATGTAAGAGAAACACAGGGTTCATCCAGCCATCCAGCGTGAGGACAGTGTGCGAAGAGCTAGCCCGAGACAATGCTCTATGACTCAAGTGTGCACAGAGCAGAGCACAGGACTATGACTGCTATCCGCCCCGTAGAGGGGTGCCTGGTGTGCTGCCCTCCAGGCAGATGGCTTCACTGCCAAGCCAGTACCCATCAGAGACCCCACTTCCTTACCTCTACACAGGCTGCACTACTTAAAAAGGGAGGACCACTGCATGTGCTGGTCCACACCTGTGATCCCAGCACTCTGGAAGGCTAAGCCAGGGGATGAGTTTGAGCCCAGCCCAGGCAATGCAGCAACTTAGGAAGCTCCCGTCTCACAATAAAGTTTAAAAAGGGTTGGGGATGTAGCAAAGGACTAAGACCCTGGATTCAATCCCCACTAAGGCAAATAATAAAAACACATTAAATTAAAAGGGGAAGGGCTGGGGATTTAGCTCAGTGGTACCATGCCTGCCTCACAAATGCAAGGTTCTGAGTTGGATCCTCGGTACCAAAAAAAAAGTGGGTGGAGGGTGTCTCACTGTGGTTCACAGTCAAGTAGCAGGGTTTTGGGGTCCCCATATTTCTCACAAATCCTGGAAACAACCACCTTGAGAAGTAGGTGGGATGTGACAGGGACAAGTGGTGGCAGGGGTCCAGTGCCTGATGCCCACACTCTGCTATCCCTGACCAATCTACACCAGAGGTGGCAAACCCAACTGGCTCCAGGAACCCTCTGGCATCTGCCACCTTCACAGGACAGCTGAACCAAGGCCAGGCCAACTGTCAACAGCTGCACAGTGAGGAAGATAACCAGATGGTGTCCAGCCTGACCATGCTGCTCAAGGCCCAAGGACCACAACACTATAGGGCCTTGCTCCTGCTAGGATGCTTTCCCACCTTGCTATATCAACAGGTGCCACTAAGGCTACTGCTAAAGAAGGTGCTAAAACTGCCACCCTCAAGAGTCATGGTCATCTGGGAGCCAGGCCTGGCTCCTCGTTCTTCTGGGATACAAGACCACAACCACCAGAAGCTATGGCCAGCTGCTCAAGAAGCCCCCTTCCCCAGGCAGGGACACGTGGACAGTGCAGAGGGCCCTTAGGTTTCAGGCTGCCTTAATTCTGAGTGGGCAGCAGACCCTACCCCCAGAGCTCTGTCCCTGGATCCCAGTGGCTGCCTGGTCTTCCTCTCCTCATTGTCTTCCCCTGCAAGGCCTGAGGGGCCAAGGGTAATTGCCAAGGGGATATAAGGAAGCTGTCCTATCCCCCCACCCTTCACCTTTCATGAAATTCCCCGAGGACATAGCTCCCAAGGGAACTGAGCCACCAGGAAAGAGGTCAAAGTCTGCATTAAGGATTCTTCCAGGAGGAAAATCAAAATTGTACATTTTATTCTTGAATTTTTAAACAGCAGGGCCAAGGACAAGCATCCTTTGCCAAGGCAAACACCACTCAGAACTGCAGTTGAGGCAATACAAGGGCCAAAGCAAACAACTGAGCCGCATCACCGGGTGACATGGAGCAGGACCACATCCCAGCCTTTCCGATAGGCAATGCCAGCATTTTTGCAAGTGCCAAGCCGGGCACAGGAGCAGCTCATAGCAGGGAGTCACAGGCAGCGTGGTCCCAAGAGGGGGCAGAGCACAGCAGTACTTGGACCGGCTGGACTGGCCCAGATCTGCACATAGACATAGACATAGACAGGCTTTCTCCTGACTATGCCTCTCTGTAGGCTGGGTTTCTGTCTGGCCAACCTGACAAGCTACCCAACCTGCATAGCACTGCCAAGGCTCTGTGAGCTTTCCAGTGACAACACACAAAAAGGTAACAGTATAGGACCCAAAAACCCAACAGTCAGGCCTCCAGAGGACAGTACGAACTTCCCTACCTACCAATCAGCCTTGAACAGTAGAGCCTGTCAGTAGAGTAGGGGGAGCCCCAGAGTAGAAGAGCCCTTCAGACACCCACAGCCTGTTTGTGTCCAACCCTGAAAGCAATTCTATCAAGATTTCATCTGGGGTCAGGGATGTAGCTCAGTGGTGCCACACCTGCCTGGCAGGCACAAGGTCCTGAGTTTGACCCCCAGTACTGAAAGGAAAAAAAAGAAAAAAAGAAAGATCTCATCTACACACCTTCCACAGGCCCAGCAAGTACAAAACACAAAATATGTGTGTTTAGTGTAAGCCTCAAACCTCTGCGGTCAGAGGGACTAAAAGTGCCCATGCGCCCTGATCTGGACAGTTTTTCTGCCACCACAATGAGTCTTCCTTCAGCCACCCAGGTAGATGAGAGTTGCATCTGGGTGAAGGTGCGCCACTGTAACTTCAGGCTCACAGCCTGGGGATGTCCGTAAGGTTGCCCTCAGAATTCCCCAGGGCAAAGCCACTCCACACACCCCCCACAATCCTTACTGTGAAAGTTCCTGGTTAATGGTTTCAATGAAGCAGCAGAAAAAATTGGGAAAAAAAGAAAGACTGTGACCAACACTTCTCTTCCACCCTCTACAACGAGGAAACTGTAATGGAACTAATGACTAATAATTTAATAAACCTCCCTCCCTTGACAGAATGTGCTTCCACAGAGCAGCAACACCAGCAATGTACACATACGCCACAGATTCCCCACAACACTGAACATAAAACCCTAAAGCTGTTCTGAATCCTGTTTACCAGCAGCTCCAACATGGCTTCAGGGCTGCCTTAGCACCCCCACCCGCCTTCAGGATTCCTCCAGACCCACTAGCCGAAACTTTAAAGGCCTGATTAAAAGCTGTTTTAAAGTATAATCTGCTCCCTGGACTACAGCTGAAACCAAAGGGGCCACCCCAGAAGCTTCCATCTGGCCGTCGGGCAGCCTGATCCAGCCAGTTAAGAGGTCCCGCAGGCCACTGGCTAAGAAGGCACAGCCATGGCTGGTTAACACAATTAGAAACTGTTGCTCAGAACGGGTCGGGTCGCAATCCTATTCAGCTGCCGTGAACCAGCAACTCCATGTGAAAACCGGCTACTCTAATCGCCAGCCTTTCACTTAACCTTCAGACACAGTTGTGAAAGAAAGCATATCTTTGTAGAAGGACGCCGTGGACCGGCCAGGGCAGGGATTTCTCTCTTGAGAAAATGCCCCAGGGAGCTGCAGCCTGCCCGGTGCCATCCGGAGCAGGGCTGTGTGGCTGGGGGTGGGAGCCTGGAAGCCGAAGAATAAAAACCCTGGGGCCTGTCCATCTGCACACAGGCACAAACGTGCCCGGGAGGGGGTGGAGAGTCAGCTTCTAGGGGCTCTGCGGTTGTTACAGGGGAAACTGTCATTTCAGATGAAGACGTGAATGCGACTCCTAACACATATCAGAAGCAAAGGCAGGCGCGTCAGCCTCCTACACAATTAGTCTTCTCCCTCCGCGGTTACATAAGATGATGGATTATCTGTCCACCCATCCAACCTGCCGGCGCTCGACCTCCCACCTTGGGCCACATCCTCTAACACCCGGAGTTGTAAAAAAGGAAAGCCTGCTAAGAAAGTGCCAAAGGCTGGCGTAACCGCGCGTGGAAGAGCCCCGCGGTGCCACGGCGCCAACAGGGCGCAGAGGAACGGGCGACGGCGGCCTACCGCCCCCATGAAGCCCCCTCAGCTGGCTCCACTCAGCTCTCCCCGTGCTCTGAAGGCACCCCAGGGCTCTCCGCCCAGGCGCGGCTCCGTTCC